AAGAAGAAGAGAAGAGAGACAAGAAGAAGAGAAGAGAGACAAGAAGAGAAGAGAGGAGAGGAGAGGAGAGGAGAGGAGAAGAGAGGAGAGGAGAAGACAAGAGAAGAGAAGAGAGGAGAGGAGAGGAGAGGAGAAGAGACGAGAGGAGAGCAGAGGAGAGGAGAAGAGAGGATAAGAGAGGAGAAGAGAGGAGAAAGAAGAAAGAAGAGAGAAGAGAAGGGAGAAGAGGAGAGAAGAGGAGAGAAGAGCATAGAAGAGCAGAGCAGAGCAGAGCAAAGAAGAGAAGAGAAGAGAAGACACGAGAAGAGAAAAGACAAACACATACACAACAAACTTTTCTGTTCATTCTAATTTTGAAAGAAGAGAACTCTGTCCCCGGCGTCTTTTCTTGGAATTGCTTTGCTATCTTTGCTGACTTGATGAGTGACTTGGGGACTGCAACATCACCCAATGTCCGGCATGTCCGACACCTGCTTTGGCCAAAACCATTTTGACCTGCAAACACATTGCAAAACCGTCTCAAATGACAACATTCTGTCAAAACTTTAGTCGCCGATTCAAAGAACCTACTGGCTCATGCCTTCCACAATTTCATCACGGGCACGCATCACATCCCAAGCTGCAAAAAATAGCCAAGCTGAGCGTCCCCAACACCCCAGCCGACCAGCGCAGCCCCGGCCGCCCACTTGAGACCTTGCCATGCGCGGAAGCGCAGGCCTCAGCGGGTTTTCATGGAGAAAACCGAGGGAGGAAGGAAAACTTTTGGGGCTGGAATGCCTGAGTTCATGTAATGGTGAGTCAAGAACAGGGAATTCAAGAAACGCATTGTCCGCTTGACCAATTGCATATAGAATCTGAGTTTTCTACAAACCATGACAAATTTATGTTTGGAGCTAAAAGGTTCGTCCCTGAAGAAACTAAAAAAGCCCTCGGCTTAACTCGCATGTTTGCGTCCATCTGAACACATTCGTCGTTGCTCCACAACAAGCTGAACACATTCTTCACAAGCAATACGACGACGTGCCAACACCTCACTTTCCCTCTTGCACTGCAGCACCCAAGCTATCCCTTGTTGTCGTGAGGATTTCAATGAGTAGTTTACAAACCATTCTGTTCCCACATATTCCTAATCAATCTGCATACTCCCATGAAAAGCCTAGACTTACCTACCTGACCCTACCTTTCGACCAGGAAGCTAACAAAGTCACCCAGTGTAGCCCTCCGTCGTCCCCATCTGGGCTCCGCTGACTCTCTGCAGGACTGGCCACCCGAACGGAGCATGGCCTGACACGGTGGCCAGTGCGTGGCAGAAGACACGCTGGCCAGCTGAGCCAGCTACGTTTTGGAAGTTCCAGAATTTCTCGGCTCTTTCTGATTCGATGCTTTAGCCGGGCTCCCATCTCCTCCTGCACAGGTAAGGCCCAGACTCTAGGAAGGCGGGGCGAGAGCAAGGATGTCCGCAAAGCAGCATGCCGAACACTTGGCCGGGCCGTGCGGGACAAAAAATAGGGTGAACGCTCTAAACCTCATGAGGATCGCCTACACGTTTAACCAGGTGTGAAGTGCACGTTTTGTGCCTCTACAAAAAAAACTGTTCAAATCATTTTAACATCTGGCCAAATAGACCACAATTGAACAGTCCAACTTTGCTTCACTGGGTGACTCTGGAGTTACATATTTCTGGGTTTCTATGGAACTGCTGGCATTGCTGGTTGTTTTCTCCTGTCTTGGTCAACATGTTTCATGTTTCCGCTTGTCTGTGACATTTGCTTCTCCAAAGAAAAGCTGCTGAATCGCCGGTCTGCTGCCTTCACTGCGCTCTCGCGGATGGGCCAAAATGAGCGAAGATGGGCGCATGGCAACATACGTACCACCACGTGCCAATATGAATATCCACTTCGTCAAGCATCTGCGCCTGCTCAGTCAAGCATGGCACCAAAAAAGTTGCAAAGGCAATCAAAGGCAACAGGGCATGAGCCCGAAGATCGTATGTCAGGGGAATAGGCGATGAAGTCCTATATTGTCTGAATTGGGGGCAAGTCAGGGCAAGCGAATCAAAATATAACACCAGCCTCCAAGCTGAGCAAAATAAGCACCACACAAACATGCTGATATCTCACTAACTATAGACTCTAAATAATACCAAATTTACTGGATCATCGTCATCGACATGCATCTTCCGTTCTCCGCATGATCATTCCATGTCAACATCGCAAGAAGGTTCCCCTTTTCCAGTGACGAAACATGAAGCAACGGTATAGCAGTTTCTTTCTGCAACACCGAAGGGTGGCCGCAAAAACACGCGTGGAGCGCCGCTTTTTGTGACAAAAACGGTGCGTCTGGCGCAGGTAACCGGGCCTCAGGAGACGGTAATTTCTTCTATGGAGGACAAGTCCTTATCATAATCATATATCCAAACATGCTATCATATGTATAATATATATATACTATTATATATACTGACTTATACTAGGCTGTGTAAACATACTTTCAGTTACCATACTCCGTGCATTACTATGTGTGTCATTATTCTGTATACTACTGTATGATGCATGACCAACAATAAACACATGCAGGGCAAGTCCCTGCAAGTTGCAATCTGCCCGTTTTTGTGGTCAGTGGACCTGGAGTGATGCGCTGATGTATGTCTTCTTGCTACGCCATGCTGCGCCATGCTGCACCTGTTTTTCCAAGTGCCTTGATCATCTCTCAAGCCAAGGAACATGCATAAATGATTCGTGAGGCTTGCGAAGCCAATTGCTGGCCTGACGGAATGCCCCTGTACAGTGCCTTCGAAGCTATTGACCTGTGCAGCAAACCCCCCGTTCCTTGAATTAACAGCCTAAAAAACACCATGCCAGCCGAAGCGGCTTTCGATATCTGGACACCTCACCTGGAAGATGCCCCAATATCAGGTCCTAAACATTGATGACTGATGTATGGATCAAACGGCAAACAATTGACTCAATCAATTACTTTTACGTGCAGTTTGTTGTTTGACACCTTGCAATTTCACATCATTTCGAGGTTTCCCATTTGACCCATAACCATCAGCTACTCCATCAGCTGTACGTTACATGTCTTGCCAGACCGATCAGCTTCTGCGCAGCCATCTCCGTCTGTACGATCAGCTTCAGCCCCTGCGAGATCGCTTGCTTTGCCCAGGGAAGTTCCAGTCCTGCAATCTTGTTCTGCGCATGTCGGGCGGATCGGGGCGGATTTTGAGAAGTCCACCCCTTATGGATCTTTTTGACCTGGGCGGGTTCCCATCGCTATGAATCAGTGGCGGATCAAACATTGGGTCAATAAGACACCCAGATTTGCTTGTTCTCAACAAAACACAACCTCATTTGTTGGTGATTTTAATATGTTTTTATATGTTTTTATGTATCAATTTGCTAAATCAAATACTATATCAAATACACATTCAAACAGCTGGACCATTGGACCATCCCGGACCTTAGAGAAGACGTTCTTTCGTCCACTCGTGCCTTGTGGATCCCGACTATCGACCCGTCACCGGCGAGCGTCTCGATCCGAGCGAGGTAAGCGCACGACCGATGCACCGTGTGGCGAGTGGACCGGTCCCGACGTGGCGGCAGCGAAAAGGACACGGGAACAGACTGAGGACCATTCCAGGACTGTTTCCGGATGCATGTTTTTGTAGGCATGAACTACTCTCCTCTAACATGCTGCAACATGTTGGGCCAATGGGGGGGGTTAGCCCCGCCGGCAACATATATCCAATCCGTTGATTGGTCTTTCAGGGTGGGGGGGAGTGGGGGGGGTGGGGTCAGTTTCGTCCGTGTTACTACTCGCGTACATCGACTTTGACGTTGACTTGTGGACGCTTAGAGGACATGACGGGCTCGACGTTCGAGGATTGCTTTAACACTGCGTAGAATGGGTCTTCTTGGCCGTTGCGATGCAAAGCTGCAACGACAGCACGTTGAAGGCCTCGCAGCGTTGTGGTTCCGCCAACATCCAGGGTTGGACTCAATGCTCGAGGCTGTCAGAATACATAGAGAAGCTGAGAAGCCCGCTCAAATGGCTCAATTGGGAACAAGACTGATGTCTGGCGGCTGGAAAATGAGCCTTGGCAAGCTGTACATGGAGCAGGCGGGTGGGTTGGGTCCGTCAAGGCGCATTCAACTTATTGTCTTGCAACTCATGAGTTGCAAGACGATAAGTTGAGTGTCCGGAAAGCAACGAAACCCTGTAAAACACATGGTTTTTTCATTCTCGGTGTGTTGCGTTCGGGGCTAACCCCCCCCGTTTACCCAACATGTTGGACCATGTTTGACCGTTTACGGCAGAGATTTGGAACTAACACTTTAACGGTTTGACAGATTTTGTTCCCGCAATCTCCTTAAAGCCACAGCACCTCTTGCCGCATCGAAAGTATTTCTCTCCATTCCTCTTGTCCGCAACTTCTGCTGCTCGTCCACAATAACACTGGGGCAGCATATGAATAAAGCCGCACCCATCGGCACGACCCAGTGGACAAAATAGGATGTCTCTTCCAAAGTTTTCTGGCAGGCCGTTGGTCACGGTTCTCTGCACCGCAGTTTGCCCGCAGTCGCAGTAATGGCGAACACGTTTCAAGGCCACCAAGAACTCAATGCTTAAGGCCGCGGGATCCAAAACGACAAACTCACCTTGGATTTGCTTAAGGAACTGGGAACAAATAACGATTCCTATTCGAAAGGATTATTTTCCCATAGGGAACATATGGGAAACTAAAACATCCTCCTAAGCAAAACCGGGTCACGAAAGCGCCTGATCTTCTTTCCAAGCTCTGCCAAGATGCTCGTCTTCCCTTGCTTCAAGGTCTTGCGGCGTCTGTCTTCGAAAATGGCCTTACCCGACTCCACACAAGTAGTGCCATCTTTCGTGACAGCAAGCTCTCCAAGAGCAGTGCGACATACCAAGGCATAGTAAACATCGGTGGCATGCTTAACGTTCCTGTCATAGAGTTTCTTGTGCAATGCGCATAGCTCATGCCCTGGTGCATGTCCCTTCCACTCAGGGTCCTTGGTCAAGTATTGATCAACTTTAGCAGCATCCTCCGCCAAGTAGCTACCCTTGCCAAAGATGCCATCTTCAGAGAGGTGTGGGTCTAAACCTTCGAACAAGATGTTGTACAAATGATTGGGCTTCGTTCCGTGGAGCAACAACATCTCGTTCTTAGAGGCATTCAAGGGCTTCGAAAGAAGAGCCCCTTGAGTCTCAAACAGCTTGGACTTCACCATCGCATCCTGAACCCGCCACTGCATGTTTCAGCAGGGGGACAAAAACAAACTCGCAAAATGAGGACATCCAACAGGCTCAGAATTTCAAACAAGAATATCATGTGCTACTATTGAAGGGAAACATCCTTCATCACCTGAGATGGATAGTCTCCCACTACTGGATTCATTCTTTTCCAGGTGTTGCACAAGAAATCTACCTTTAACACTATAGGATGTAATCAGACCATCCATCCTGGGAACAGATCGCAAGCCTCCCATGACTGATGGATGTTCAGTGACACATTCGAGCCTTAGGGGAAGTGAAATGATTTTTGTTCGGGAGAACGAATCCACTCTGACTGGACTGCATCATCCAAACGGCTCCAAAACGGCTAGGGGGGGGCCTCCGTCCCAACGGCGCCGAAAACCACCCCCTCTCAGAGTAGCGAAGACCTCGATCCGAGTAAGCTCTCGGTCCTTGTCCAGTTTGGGCAGCTTCCGCAAGAACTCCTCGAAGCGCTTCTCTCGTTGGGGGTTCCGAACACGCCACGCACATTCGACTTTGAGGTAGTCGTAGGGCGAAGAGACTTCTTGCTGATCGCGACCAACACCGGTTGTTGTGCCATAGGGAATGTCGAACAGCCTGTGACAACGTGGCAACTCATCCGGAAAGCACATGCCAGTCACGTGCAGTAGCGAGGACTGAGGGTTGCTCGACACTTCATTTTGCTGTTCTTGCTATCGCTTCCCGCCGTTTCCCAAAACTCGAACAAAGTCATAAAGAATCTAATCCATCCACCCGATGTGTCTATGTCACAGTGTCATCCACCCTTTAATCCAAATATCCTACCTATATCCTACTATATAATGTTACAATTTATGTATAGCAGTTTCAGAGTAAATGGCACAAAAAAACCAAGTTCGATGGTTTATATGGGCCCCCATCGAAAAGACATTTTGATGTTTGTGCCATCTACTCTTGAGACATACGTATCCCTGGAGGATAGGGATTCTTGGCTTTAGGTTTTTTTCTGAAAAAATATGAAAAATATGATTCTGAAAATATGAAAAAATATGGTCGCTTTTGAGAATATGAAAATATGGAAAAAAAGTGGACAGAATACACAAACAAAAGCAAAACAACAAAAAAATAGAGACAACAAAGGAACAAATATACAATTATGTGTAAGACATGCTGGGCACTCAAGCAAATGCAGACACCAAAATGGAGCAGCACACGCATCACATATGATACATATCCAGGTGACCATGTGTATTTTACTACTTGATGTGAAGCAAAGTTTCTGGTTGCTGGGCGTTTCTCAGTTCCTGCTAGCAGGCCTCTATCATGATTGTAGCTCAAACGGTAAAGAACTTCCAAAGCTACATGTACTTGTTGCCGTGTTGTTCGAATTCCAGCGTACGGCGTACCTCAACATCATTCCAAAACAAACCCTGTAAGTTCTGAACTGTGTTCTGTACAAAAAAGCTATGTCACATCACTCCCTTCCCTTCCCACACCTGCTTTCCCACCACCTTGCTTGGTTGGGTGCCTTCTCTGCAAACTCGAGTAGATTCTACTCTCTGAAACCACTGCATGTCACATTCTATAGCCCAAGACCACCTGACCATTCAAGCTGGACTCTCCGGTCGCCTTTGCAACTGCCTTCGAGTCATCTCATCTACCACATACTCGGCGCTGCCGGGAGTGCAGGCGCTGGGAGGTGCTTGTGGCTTGGCTGCCGTGAGGAACTCGAAGTTGCTGCACGCGTTGCATTTGTAGTATTTTCGGCCTCCACGCGAATTCGTTTCTTTGGGCCTACATGAGGCATGGGACACAGTTATTGTCAAAAACCTGTATCATGTACAATATACCATTGTGCCGCACCTGCGTTGCCATTTTGGTTATTCTCCCCGACAACCAACACCTGGACTGCTCGTCGACATTTCTTGCAGTTGTTCTCCACTGTGAGCGGTTCTTGGGACCCCTCCCAATCTGACGACTCCCATTGAAAGAAGTTGCAGCCGCAGTTGCCGGTGCTGGCACAGCTCCAAAACTCTCGCCCGCGGGTTGGACCATCCTTTCGGGTCATCTTCAAAGCACTGGGATGCCCACAACGACACAAGGGCCCGGCAGCAGATAAGGTGGTGCCACCATGGTCAATCCACTGAAAGAAGTCACAGGAAGGACAGCTCCAATACTCCCTGCCTTGATGCTTGGAATTCATCCCGGCCACTCTTTTCACGGCGCTCTCTGGAGGATCACAGTGACATAGGGGTGCGCTCATGTTGGGCATCTGCCGCAGGTTTGGACGGAGACTTTTTGCAGAAGAGCCGAACATGAAACTGTCAGCACTTTCAACTTTCAACTGTCTTGTCTTTAAACTTATAAATAGGTTCACCTGCATGTTGTTGCTGCTATTGTTGTCGCATGCTGTCATTCCTGTGAAACTGTGCCATCAACAGTACAGAACGTTCGCATTCCAGCGTTCAACCATCCCTGAGGACTCTTCGCCCGTCGCAGACCAATAGGACTCTTCGCTGAGACATGTCCAAACCATTCCCAAGGATCCCACACCTACGGACGTGCAACGGGCACACATGTTCTATGCTTCGGGAGGACATGTTCAACCACAGCAACACATGTTCAACCGACACCATGAATCAACACAAGCTAGGTCCCCCGCAGAGCGGACGAATCCAGGCATCCCCACGTTCCCAGCTGAACCACCTGGGCAGTTGAGCGACGTATGTTGTCCGGGAAGCTGCGCCATCCGGCGTCCCGAAAGGTCAAAGGTCCCGAAATCTTCGTGCCAAAAGTGATCCAAGATGAAATGCGTCCCAGATTTTCTTACACACATCTCAAAAGACTCAGGCTCCATGCACAGCAATGTGTGAGCCACACCCCATTGTCCAAGCTCTTGTCCAGAATCAATGTGACATGGTCTTCCTAGGGTTGACACCCCACCCATTGCCATTCACGTTGGATGCAATGGCCCATGGCAAGGGCCTAGCAGTTCTACTGGACGTCCTTCAGTCTTTTGCATCATGATAACCTGATTTCCAAGGTTTTTCGGACTTCTTCGAACTCAACAGCAGTCATATGCAGTAATACTATGTAATCTCGATTCTCTACGGCACGTAAACTGCTTGAGCATCGACAGGGTCGGTGTCGCAGGGTGTCACAGGTTGTGCTCCGTTCGAAGCCTTTCCCCTTCCCCCTTCGGCCTGTGTCAGTCCCAGATGCAACCAGCACCACAGCAATCAATGGGATGATATTCCAAACATCCTTGTCCAATTCGTCCACTTTATGGGTGACTCCTTTACTGCCACCTCTTACTGCCTTGTCTTCTAGCCATCTGGAAGCTTCAAGTTCCACCTGAATTGCCATAAGCATGCCACCACTCGCGGATGGTCCCGAATGGGGGTCTTTAAGGGCTCTGCGGTGGAGCCCTTCGGGCCCTTCGGGACGGCTGAATAGGAAAGTGGGAGCCCTGACTCCACACCGAGTCAACCCATGCCCACGAAGGGCTTTTGAGAAATCGATGGAAATCCATTCTACAAGGAGGCGGACAAAACGGCTTCGAAAAAACACCCATCCCGATGCACCAAGACTTCTGGAGATCCTCAACAGGGCTTGGATCATTAACGCTAGGGTGTATGCTGCTGAAAGAAAACGCCAAAGTTCAAAAACAACCTGTCTGTTAGAGGTGCCTCTTCTGGACACCTTTGAATAACTATATACACATAGTAGCAGGATGTCTTCATACATGGCTGCTAGCAACTCTTTGTACGGAACGGTGCCCACAAGTTTTCTTGGAACATTTAGCTCACCTCACCATCTAGAAGCAAGACATCATCTCCATCCACACCGTTTGGATCATCAAACCACCCACCCACCAGCCACGACAGACCCAGCTTCTTTTCCACTTCGACCTCAGCTCATCCTCAGCCCTTCACAGCCTCAGCCGCCCTTGGCGCCCACCAGCGCCGGGGCATCTGGCCGATCTTGAGCCAACGTTGTGCGCCACATCTCACGCACGTAGCGGTCACGGTCAAAGCCTCAACCGGAGTCAGTCGACCCGGTGGGCTGGTGGAAGGGTGAGACTTTGAGGTTGCTACGGTTTGTGGAAGAGAAAGCAAAGCCAAATGATGGTCATTTTGTTCTCAATAAAGTTCGGTTGAAAAAGTGAAGACCAAGCAGGTCGATTTCACCTCTGTGGTATCTCTCCAGATATATAGGAGAATATGGCTAAAGGCGGACCTGTTAAGTTGCTTGGGGACCGTCGTTCGTTGTTTCGGGGAATTTAGCGCAGAAGAAGTGTTTTTGACCCTTGCGGACCTCTGAAGAATTGGTTGTTCAGAACTAAGAGAGGGTATAAAACACGTCTTGTTTTTTGCGTTGTTAGTGGCAACATACGAGACCCAAAGGACTATTTCATAGGTTTGTTTGTCTCGTGAGTGGTGAGTGAACGGCCATGGTAAAAGCTTTGTAGACGTTGTAAACCTTTGTAAGTTTTTTTGTAATTCAACAACTCTGTCAACTCTTTGCAAAAGTTGCAAACTTTGTACAAAATCTTAAGACTTTGTGAAAGTTTGGTAAACTTTGTATAACTTTGTAAAATAAAAAACTTTGTAAACGTTAAAACTGTGTAAAACGTTGCTCTAACTTTGAAGAACAATTTGAAGAACTCCAAAACTTCGTAAAAGGTTTGTAAACCTTTTTACAAAGTTTGCAAATTTTACAACGTCTTAAAAAAGTTTTACCAAGTTCTTACAAAGTTTTACAAGTTTAAAGGTTGACAAAGCTTACAAAGTTTGACAAAGTTTAAAAATGTTTTACAAAGTCTACAAAGTGTTGACACAGTTTACCAAGTTTATACCAAGTTCACTACGTTTTTACAAGGCTTTCAAAGTTGGTACAAAGTTTACAAAGTTTTACACAGATTTTATGAAGTTTGCAAAGTTTTACAACCGTTTACCAAGTGTACAAAGTTTACGATATTTTAACACAGTTTACAAAGTTTTGAACAATTTCCAAAGTTTACCCAGTTTACAAAGGTTTTACCATAAAAAAATCAATTAAAGACGTATTGAAAGTTTTACAATGTTGCTGCAATGTTGACAAAGTTTTTACAGAGTTTACACAGTTTTAAGTATTGAAAGTTTACAAAGCTTGTGCAAAGTATATATTTTTTACAAAGATTGCAAATTTTACAATTTTACATGGAGTTTTTTCAAAGTGTACAAACATTTGCAAACTTTACACAGTATTTACATAGTTTACAAAGCTTTCACAAAATTTGCAAAGTTTATACAGTTTACACAGTTTTTGCACAGTATTGAAAGTTTACAACGATTTTAGACGGATTTGGAATTTGACAAAGTTCTTGCAAAGTTCGGAATTTACACAGTTTTTCAATTTTTACAGAGTCTACAAAGTCTCACAAAGTGCTTACAAAGTTTTCAAAGTTTTTACAAAGTTTACAAAGTTGTACAACGTTTTTACAAAGTTTACAACAGCTTTTTCAAGTTTACAAAGTTTTTACAAAGTTTACAAAGTTTTTACAAAGTTTACAAAGTTTTTCAAAGTTTACAAAGTTTTTACACAGTTTACAAGGTTTTTACAAAGTTTTTACAAAGTTTGCAAAGTTTTTACAAAGTTTACAAAGTTTTTACAAAGTTTACAAATGGCTGGTGAAAAACACTTATGTTTACAACAAATGACATGAAAAACACTTCTTTTTAGGCAAAAAATCGTGCAAAAACACTTCTTTCACAGAACTTTACAAAGTTTTACAAAGTTTTTACAAAGTTTACATAGTTTACACAGTTTTTACAAAGTTTACAAAGTTTTTACAAAGTTTACAACGTTCTGACAAAGTTTGCGACATTTGCCTTTTGTTACACAAATTTACAAAGTTTTTACAAAGTTTACAAAGTTTTGAAGATTTTGGAAAGTTCACAAAGATTTTGCCAAGTTTACAAAGTTTTGCAAAGTTTACAGAGTTTCGACAAAGTTTACAAAGTTTTGACAACGATTACAAAGTTTTGATTGTTTATTTATTTGCAAAGTTTACAAAGTTTCTTTCTACATTTTACAAAGTTTTTACAAAGTTTGTACAGTTTCACAATTTGTACAAAGTTTTGAGGAAATTTACAAAGTGTTCAAAGTTTACAAAGTTTTCACAACGTTCACAAGGTCTTTCAAAATGTTTACAATGCTTTGACAAAGTTTGCGAAGTTTAAAAACGTTTTACAAAGTTTGCAAAGTGCTACGAAGTTTATAACGGTCTTTTTTAAATAGAGTTTACGAAGGCCTACAACATCTAAAAGTTGTTTACAAAGTTTACAACATGTTAGTACAAAGTGTACAAAGTTTGCAATGTTTACAAACTTTTTGACAAAGTTCACAAAGTTTTGACAAAGTTTACAAGTGTTTACAAAGTTTTGACAAAGTTTTCGCATTTTACAATTTTTTACACAAAGTTTTCGCAGTTTTTTACACAGGTTTACAAAGTGTACAAAGTTTTTACAAAGGTTTACGAAGTTTAAAGTGTTTCAGTGTTTAAAACGTTTACAATTTTAACAACAGTTTACGAAGTTTTGACAAAGTTTGCAATTTTTTCAATCTTTACACAGTTGTTGCAGAGTTTTGAAAGTTTACACAGTTTTAGAATTTCACCAAAGTTTCTACAAAGCTTACACAGCTTTTACAAAGTTTACAAAGTATTTACAAAGTTTACAAAGTTCTTACAAAGTTTACAACGTTTTGCAAAGTTTTCAAATAATAAAGTTTACACAGTTTTGACACAGATTGAAAAAAACGAAACTTTGTAGAAAGTTTGTAAGCATCAACCACTTTTGTAAAAGCTTTGTAAAAACTTTCAAACTCAATAACTTGGTAACAACTTTGTAAAATTCCAAAACTTGTTCAAAGCTTGATAAATGTCCAAAGCTTTGTTCAGATATCTAAAGGTTCAATACTTTGTAAAAACTTCGTAGTTCCAAAGTTTTGTAAAATTCAATGTACTGTAAGTGTCCAAAACTTTGTGAAGTTTGTTATTTCTATGTTTAAACTTTGTAGACTTTGTTAAAACTTTGTAATGCAAAAACTCGGTAAAAAAAAGTTGTAATTCCAAAACTTTGTCAAATTTTTGTAAAGATCCAACACTTTGTAAACACTTTGTAGGAAGTTTGTTTGAAGACCTGCGAAAGCTGTTCAAGAAGAGCTGATCTTTGGATCAGTGAGACTGCTTGCATTTTTTTGTTAAAAAAAACGGCATTTGGTGCTTGCGCTTGGGGAATTTGTGACTGATGGCTGTAGTGTTTCAGGGTATTGAGGGTGAGAAGAAGGGTCGAATGGTTATTGGTTGTGCAAGTGTTTTAAGACTTGGCCACGGAAACACCAAAACACTTCTTTCATTTTTTCCAAATAACATTGGTGCAAAACACTTCTTGCGAGCAAAAACACTAAACTCAAGCAACTTAACAGGCGGACCCCACAAGCACCAAGCAAGCATCGAAGATCTGACGTACGTACAAGTTCATGCAATATGATCATAATAAAACAGATCAATCTTAAATATTCGCAGCTCAATGAATGCATACCAGGTTCTTCCAAAAAAGCAGACAAATCGATTGTATGAAGCCTTCTGACCGGTCCACCCTTCGTTTTCCTTCTCCACGCCCCCGGACCGATGGTCACCGATCCCCGGACTGGTCCCCTCCACGGTCCGGTGTGCGCGTTGCGCGTCCGTTTCGTTCGAACGCGCCGAACGCGTGCACCGGTGCCTGTGGCACAGTGGAGGGTGCAACGGTTGTCCCAAAGGACAAGATCTCCCACTTGCCACTCCTGGGCGTGGTGAGCAAAAGGAATTGTTCACCACACCTGGCCAAAGGCCATGGGATTGGCTCGGTTTCGCAGGACATGGGTTGTGAGGACATGCAGGCACATGATGGTCCATGCGGATGCCCATGCGGATGCCCATGCGGATGCCCATGCGGACTGTAGTATCTGTTCCACCCAAAACGAAATGCTTCAGGGCAACGTGCTCATGTTGTTGTCCAAAGCTCCTGACGACCCAGGTCGAATGATCAGGATCTCTGTTCAACCTGGTGAGCAACTGGGTCTGCCCCCAAAGGTGTAAAGGTTCAGCCCTTCGAACAATGATTCTTAACATATCCCATGGAGCAAACGGGAAACCCACCAAGATGGGCAAACGGGAAACTCTGACCCAAGCGACCCAAAACATCAAAACCATGCAAGGACCTTTGTTGGAGGCTACGAAGTGGAGGTTTGAGTTTTCAGGTTGTTGACTGCTGATAAACAAAACATAATATGACCCTCCACATATTGAATTTCGCGAGCCGGGTGGAATCATAATTTGCGATCGTTGGACCCTCAACATGTGTTTTCAGGCAATGCCTGAAAAAATCGATATGTTTGTAGACTTATTTTGGCCAACGGAGACTGTTGAACACTTATTGGCCGAACGTGTTTCCCGAGGGACCTGATGAAACACCAAAGGAATATTGATTTGGGCGCCTTCCTCGGAGCCATTGTTTTGATCCCTGTGTTGAAGGTCAGAGTGACACATGGAATGTATGACATTGCAAAAATCATTGTATGAGGAAAATGATATGAATTGAACTCGCATGACACGCATGATCAATCATCAATGATAATGATCCAGTAAGATAGCAAGACACCTCCAGTTGACACCCGCGAACCTGTGTTACATGGATCTTGTTCCAGCTGGCTTTCGTGGAGAAGGCCAAGGTCAATGTCCAAGCCGCTTGCAGCAGCAGAGGCATTCTGATGCATTGCTGCTGAGTGCCGTGGGAAAGCTACATGATGCCCGGGACAGTTGTTTACAATACATCACCAGCAGACACAGCAGTGTGGACAGTTCTCGGGTTACTTTGGTGGTGTTTGATGGTTGGACACTTTTGTCTTTTAGCCTGGCCTGGCCTGGCTGTTCCCGTCCTTCCATGTTTCCAGTCTCCACTGTGTGCACAAATCTTTGCAGCCTGCGAGGTTGCTATGCTGTCAGCGCACGTGGAACTGCTGCTGCAGCAAGCGGAGGAGCTTCTGAAAGGACAGCAGTGCAACACTTTGTCTTTGACTACCAGACGGAATGTTGGCGGCCGCAGCTACACCATGGCTGCAATGGTGGAAGTCATTCTGCTCAGTCGCCATGTGTCAGGGCTGATTTTGTTTGCTTTGCAACTCACTGCAATTGCAATTGCAAGGAAAAAATCCACCGGGTCCGCGGGTCCACCATGTCCACCGACTCCTTTTTTAGCATGATGATGATAGTATTGAATTGAATTTAATCAATCAATTTGGTGGCGACTTGATACCGGAAACCGGTTGGAGGTTCCAACTGTGGTTCCCTATTAGAGGTGGCATGACATGTACGGTGGAAAAAATAACACATAGTCAATGACATACTTCATTGTATACAGTCATACAATATCACAAACTGCAAGGTGAAGAACAACCAAAAACTGAAGGAGGCCATTTTGCGATCTGTGGGGCTTTTGAATGGACCAGCGGCAGCTGCCCATTATCATGGCCTGTTTGAAGGAGGCCATTTTACTATGCCATCAGAGGCATCGCTCAGCAGGGGACGGTTGAAGGTGGACATATTGTTGTGCCTGTCGCAGCAGGCAACAATGGCCAACCCTGCAGAACACTTTATTTTCCTTTCTTCTGACTCTTCGCCCCAAGGGGGGTACGAGCTGTTGATGACATTGCAGGATACGTGCAAACGTATTCTGATTGAAATTTTGTTAACGTTTTGTTTGCAATGTTCAAGCCGATCAGTTTATCAGTAGTTCCACAGGCCATGGCAGCTCCTCTTCAGTGAACTCAGGTGCAGATGCCTTGAAGCTTATGCAGTTACTTGACAACTCTGGCGATAGCGATGACAAAGCAGAGGAGTTCCAGGCTTTCTTGGAGTCAAGATTCTTGAAGACTACAACGCTGCCTTTGGGAATGCTTGGCTCTGGAAATTGTGATCTTGCAGCAAAGCATGAGTGCCTTTTCAATTGTTTGAAGCTGGAAGTCGGCGTTGGGACGGTTACTTACTTGATTTCAGTTTTTAGGCGATTGTTGACTGTTTGAGTGAGTACAGTGAGTGTGTAAGTTTTTCAGTCGATTGGCCAATGTCAAACAGGTTTTCGATGATTCGACTTTTGCACTTCTTTGCTGTGCCAGTGTGCCATGTCATGTTCAACCGAACCACCTACAACCAGTGAGGATGGGAAGTCGTTGGCAGAATTCTCTGGATCTGTCGTTGGACTTTGTTCTGATTATGGAACAGAAAGCCAATTGGCTGAGGCAATTGAGTTGAACAAAAGTAGATCCTTGTGAGGCACTGATGACTTCAGGAGTCCACTTGACACTGATATGGCATCAAGTCTGAAACTGTGACCCTGTCAGGTCCCGGATATACCCATCAAGGCGACTTTGAATTCGCTAGTGGCCAACTCCAATGGCATGCTCAAGTTTGAGGATCCTAGACTGCTTGGGCCAAGGGGTGGGCCTAGAATGGCTTTGGTCTCTGACGTTGATGAGTTGGTAGAGGCGCCGGCGCCGATCTCTTGTTCAAAAACACATTATTAGTTATTATACTATTACAGAGTATTGAATTGTTACCACCGTTACGTTATCGTTACTGTAACTGCCTTACTGCTTCATTTTTCAGTTTCATTATTCTGTTGGCTGTCACTGTAGGCAGTTGGCGGCCAAACACTGTAACTGCAATCCTTACTACTACTACTACCACCACCGCCACCGCCACTTATTCGCCTGCCTCCTTCTATTGTGAAGACACATGCATTATTATGACTTCATAACGTCATCATCATTCAGTATTTAAGTTCAAATCAATCAAACAACGTAAGTTCTTTTCTCTATGAATGAATGTATCAGTGAGTCAGTGAGTGACTACTAATATATAACTTGTACCAATGTTAATGTTACCAATGTAGCGTAGCCAAATATGAAACTATGCCTATGACATTATGACACTGTGACTCTATGACTCTGACTAGACTAGACTATGACTATGACTAAGACTGGACCGACTCTATTCCTGGGACAAATAGACTCAGAAAAAGACTATGACTCTGACAATGACGACTAATGACTCTGACTGACTACTGAAATCTATGAAATATAAATAAAACATAACACAGACAGATGTCATTGTCATTGTCTGTCATGTCATAATATATGTTCATTTAATGATAAATTAGATTTCAAACATCAATTGAATTCAATGATAAAATGGTGTGGGAGTGGGAGTCGGGGTCAGGTGTAAGGTCAGGAGACAGAGTCTGATTGTTTTTGTGTTGTGGCAGTTTGACTGGAGGAGCCGTTGGCAAGGTTGGCTCATCCGGAGCCAAGTGCAGAGCTGAATCCAGCTGCAACCGCAGCTGGGTCAAGGGATCAGGAGGTTCTGAAATTTGGACTATCTCGTGCTTTGTCCATTCATGGCCAGAAGCACATTTGGGACAACATCTCCGGGGACGTGCTGCAGGTGCTTCGCCACTACAAAGTGTATAAGGCTTGGACACTTCCGGTGACACTGTGCGGGCTGTGGCGGCTGTGACTGGAATCGAGTCAGGGTCAGAGTCAGAGATCCGATGATTTGCTGAGCGCTAGCGATAGTAAACATTTCATGCAAGTGACTGCTGACACATGATTTGAAGTTGAATTATAATATTGTCGGGCTCGTCATCGTCACGCCCGTCCCGTCCGTCAGACCTGAATCATGTGTTGTTTGATCTTAAGACACTTGACCAGGAAGCGCTCAACGGAGTGGTGACTCTCCTTCAGGTGCGACACTATCGGGACCGGGTTTGCGATAGCCTGTTCAAGCACACCAGTTTCCTGAAACTAATGCGCTGCTGGCCAGCTGGTCAATTCATTCAATGGCGTTGGGGATCTTTGGTTGGAGTCTGCAAGGCACTGCTTGACAGAGAGAAAGCTCTACGTGGAAATTGGTCTTTGAAGGTCTTGCTCAAGGTTCCTGAAGTGGAGCAGCAGGGTGATGAAGCAGAGGACACAGCATTCAAACGTGCCAGACTTCAAGCCTCTGAAGTGTTTCAAGCAGCTGACCGGGCAGTGTCTGACAGATTCTTTTGGGCATACACCAAGTTGCTATACTGTTTGAATGGCCATCTGCAAAAAATATCATGTTGGTGCGAGGCATGCAGCTGCCATGAATGGGAAGCGGACTCCTGCGTTCTTCGTGGAAGAAGATGCCATGAACTGGCGGATGGAAGCTTCAAGGATTTCATACAATCCTGTAACAAGCAAGCCAAAGAGGCATTTTTGAGTTGCCAAGCCGGGCTGGCACCAAATCAGGTATCACTATTGCAGGATGAGTTTCATTCTGCCACTGACCTCATTCTGACAGAGGCCAAGCTGAAAACGGCACACTGGGAGGTGCTGCCATGGAAGCTTTGTGCTTTAGCTGCCAGTGATGAATGCAGGGCACGTTTCGCAGCGAATCTCGGAGGGTGCTCTCAGAGACTGCCAATGTGTTCACTGTGTTCTGTACTGTGTATGTTGGTGCTATTGTTGACGTCGATGTTGCTAATGATCAAACTACTGACTACAGACTGACTCAAATGACTCAAACTCTGTATTCGATTCTGCAGCGGCAATTCTGGGTGTTGCCAACGCTGGCTATGACTCTGACTAAGGAAACAGGTGGTAACCTTGTGGGACCGTTCGCGAGAAGTTGCTCCAGATGAATGTGAGGCGATTGACCATGGCTTGGGAATCCAGCACCCTTTGAGCAGAATGTTTCTGGATCCCGACTTTCTTGGTGTGAC